ATTTATATGTAAAGAGCTCATTTCATTAGAGGGAAAAAAAAATTTTACATAGGTTTGGTGGGGTTTTTTTAGTTTAAAAGAAACTTTTAACATTATTTATTTTGCTTTTTTAAAAAAATTTGTATTATTGACACAGTCCATGTAAAAGCAATATACATCATATTGATGGGTTAACAACAATTTTATGTCTTTGTTCCAGTTTTTGTTTAGTATCCATTACAGAAGATTTAGAAACTGAGCCAATCATAGACCTGAAGTATTTAACTAGAGAAAATAGTATTTTTCAGTTTCACTCAAAATTATTTTATTTTAGACCCTAACTATGTCATTACCATATGCCAGTTAAAATCCTTAAAGGGTCATTTTGGATTTTACTCCTATCAGTCTCTTGAAAGAATGATTTTACGGTGACCTTGTTTTTAGAATGAATAATTGCTGAAATGAAAATGCTGCAGCTCCCTGATTTGCTAAAATGAAACTGCTCATTGTTCTAGTACAAAGACCTCTTTTTATTGGTATTGTAAATGCTGAAATTATAAACTGAATAAGCTGGTTCCCAAGAACACTAAAATAAAATAATTTAATTTATAAAATTTACTTGGTTAATTATGATTTTTTTTTCAAACTTTCCTTGTTTATCATCAGTGCCAAGTTACCTGTTGTCACTATTTTTAGCCTCAGGTCTTTGAGATCTTAAAATTGGAAAGTATTTGGGTGACCTTTTAAATAAAATCTGAATCAGAATGACTGTCAACACATGATGCCTGTATTTAATATTCTCAAAAGGCTATGGATTTCTTTGTATACCAAGAATAGTTCCTGTGTTTTTATGTATTTTTTTTTAATGTTTTATATGTTTTTACACATCTTCCGCTACAAGCACCATAACTGTGGTACAAATAATGTCTGTAATTTTATTTCTTCTCCCACAGATCTGCAAGAAGCCAGTTCTAAAAGGAATAAAAATTTACTACTGCACATGAATTGCCTTTTTTTGGTATATGTAAGCTTTGAGGCTGTGACTACATAAAGTTCTCAAACTTACGTTATGTATTTTACTTCTGAATTTGAATCAATTCCATGATCTATCATATAAGGTCAGAGGAACAGTCACTGTCAATTCTACACGTTTCAGTTTTTACAGAGCATTTCAGGTTTACCCTGTCTGATCATATGCATTTATGACATACAGATATGCTGCAGATAACGGCTCTTCCAACATCTTTAATCAGTAGGATGAGGTCCATTTCAGGAAGCAGTGTGGGAATTAGCTGTAAAAGCTCTCTAATTAAAAGAAAAATACATAGTGAGGACACAAAATTTCTCTTCATATTTACATTAAGAGGCAAACAGAAAGAAGGAAAATTTAATTTAATATTTAGTTCCTTATGTTATCAATTACAATTGAACTCAATGTTCAGATCTTTCAAGCCCAGTTATCTTGCATTTGCACATATGCATCACATTACTGTTGTACTGATTCTTCACAAGGAGATTCCGAAGCAATAACAGTGATGGAAAAGATTTATTTTTCCCACTCCTCGTTCTCTTTTTTGGGGTCTAGTAAGGGATTTGGTTTTTAGCATTTTCAGGGCTGTGTAACACAAATTTCTCTGTACAAGTAGCAACCTACATGATAAGTGAAACTCAGTAGGAGTAAATATGCGAGGCAAATGACCTGTTCTTGAGTACCTGATGACCACACTACAAATAATAAAGTGGGATGTAGGGAGATCTGTTACCTCAGGCTAGTTCTTGTCCAGTCCCAGGAAGTGAGTCCAGTCCCAGTCTCCTGCACCTTCATCTTTAAGTCAGGCCAAATCCATTACACAATTCACAGCAAGGTAAAGAAGAACAGCTGGGACATTCACTTCAAATATGCAGGGGTGATTATTGGAGGCGAAAGCTGTCACACCTCCTAAATATTAAGACCGTGTATCCACTTTGCACAAGAATCATACAGAGTGAAGACAAAATGGATGAACCTTTATTTCAGGGATGAGCTAGTTCTTATGTGGCAGAGCATGGAATGTGTGGAATTTGGGAGGAATTAAAGGAGTTTCATGCAAGGGAATGTCTATAAATGGAAAAATTGAGCTAAACACATGCAAATATTGGGTAAGAAGAGATAGAAAGAAGGGGAAAAGCTATAAATTTTAACTATCAGGAGACAATAAGCAGAGGGGTTACAATCAACAAATAGGGACAGGGCTAACAATAATTGAAACTGCAGATTACGTATAAAGTAAGATTTTTCCTAACAACATTATCACTAAATTGAATAAACATAACACTTTTATAACACGAAAAGCAGTCTCTGAGGTAGGAAGTTTATCTGTTGTCCAGTAGTTTAGCTGCATTCCAAAGTTGTCTTTTCTTCAGTTCTCTTTTTCTTCAGAGGTTTTTCTCCACCATGAATAAACCTCTCACGGGGAACTTCCAACAGGTGATCTGAATATAAAACAGTAATGTAGATGCACACCTTCGTTGAAATTGGCCAGTGAATATGTTTGCATAAGGATAGGAAAAAGTCATGTACACGTAGGTCACAAGCATATAATATCATAAAAAGTGAGAGGTGAAAGGTTTATGAAAATAACATTTTTCTACATTTTTAACAAAACTGCCTTCATAAACTATCCTGGCTCTGTTAAACAATATGGGACAAGTTAAAAGTAATTAATTCTTACCTCTTTATTGCCAAACTTTGATTGAATTTGTATCTATTCTCATGTGGCTCCTGAAGCACTTGTGAACTTTTATAATTCCAGTCTATCAGGACTAATCTGCAAGTAAAAAAACCCTCACTTTTATCAGCAGGTATTCAACAAATGGCAAATGGCAAATAAACCACTTAATGAATTGTTTTAATTGTATTTCTCTCCCATCTCCCAGAACTTGAGAAAGTTTTAGAAAGCTGGAGAGGAGTAGGATGGGTTTCTTTGCTGCTTTCATTTAGTTCCAACACTGCTTGCTTTCAGAAAAGACTTGATGAGAGAATTTCACTGCCTTTCATGTATGGACGATATTTAAAGTGGTACAATAAAGGGTATATTGTAGTGCAGTAGACATGTACATTACAGCAAATATGAAAGCAAAGAGGTAAATTTGCTGCACCAGCTCAAGAATATGAAGAAGCTTTTATCCAAGTCAGTTGACAAGGAGCGAGAATAAACTTTTCTACTGAGAATTAAATAGAAATTTAAGTTAACAGGTTTATCTGTGGCTAAGAAGAGAGTGCATATCCTGTATTCTTGATTATTTGAGGTTGGGCTGGAGATTCTAATAATTCTTCAGTGAATGAAGTTGATGAAGTTTCCTACACATAACCTCTGTCTATGGCTGCAGCAATTCTGAACACCTAATTAATTTCAAAATAAATGTTTAATTTCTTTATTTTCAAGGATTTCGACTGAGATCTCTAGATCTGGCAAATTTAGCCTGTGAAATATCAACTGTTTTTATGGGAACATGTAAAGGAATGTTTTGGTGTATAGTTATAGCAAGAAGCTTTACTGTGTAATAATCTCATGCTGCTGAAGTATCTCCATGGATCTATAAAGAGACAGTGTAGTCTGGAGGTATGAGCAGACTGAGGATCAAGGGATAATAATTATGCACTATCCTTGTTTGATCTTCTTTGTAAAGTGAGGTAAGTGATAACTGCTTGTTCCTAAGAAAACCATGCCAAGTCTTAGGCAGTAAGATTAATTGAGATGAAGGAAAATGAAGGGAAAATATATGCATAAATAGATCAATTAAAAAAAGGTGAAACTAGAACCGGACTTCTCTTCATTGTTCAGAATTACATGGAGACAGTGAGACTGAGGCCTATGTCATTTTTTGAGTTTTAGTTGTCCAATATTGCACAGTAAGAATTTCTGCAACATGCAGTTGGCATTATAGAGCATTTTAGAGAGCTTAAAAGGGAAATCAAGTACACTTTAGAAGTTGTGTCGTTCAATACAAAGGCCAAACTTCAAGGCAACATGAAGATAAGAAAGGTGTTGGTTCTTTCCTTCCATACTTTTTTTCTTCCCCTCTTTCCCTACCCTAGCTTTACAGCTCTTCTCCACGTCTCTTACTCTATTGAATGTGTGTGTAGCCATACTATGCTTTCTCCATACTATGGAGATATACTCCAATTGATTTTTCTGAAGTGATGCTAATATTTTATGCATTTGTTTAAGACCTAACCATTACATTTTCTAGTCTTTCAACTTCAAATTAAAATCCTTAGAAAAAATGGTTTTGCTGCAACTTGACTTGTCCGTCCAGCCTTCATTTGCTTCATATGTCTCAGTTACCTGTTAGGTATGAAGAAAAGACCCAGGATTCCAAATCCCACAAAAAGGTCACAAGAGAGAATTTTCAAAATGTTTCCAAAAACAGTTTCCAAAACTGTTGCCTAAAAAGACTGCAGACAAAAAGGATTCCAGGTCAATTTAGTGTATAAGATAAAGAGGGCAGGGCCTTTAATGAGTCCGTAGACCTAGAGGAATATGGACCATGCATGCCCATAGAGAAAGTGGTTCTTTGATTTTATAATAAAGTCCATCCAATCCCGAATCCATCCATCCCTGGTTCTGCCCTGTTCAGCCCCTCAACAGGCCCCTTCAGGAATTGGTTCTGGGGGCGTTTGGGACCCCTTCTTCCTCATCTTCATCTTCTTTAAAGCACTTACAGTCCTTGGAGTTCCTATAGAGTTCTGAGTTTGAAGGTCACTGTGTCTGTGTGATATCTTCTGGTCCAGCCGTTAGGGTGTTTTTCTACAATTGTACCTTGAAAAGAAGACTAAACACACTAACAGAATTCAGAGGGATTGATAAAGGGTAAGGGATATAATACAGCTACATTAAATTCTGCACTTATTACAAAACTACTTCTAAAATCTATTTCTTGGGAAATCTTGACAGAGTCTTCTTGCTTAGGTTCAGACAGGTGGATGGTGTGTGAAGAGATGAGGACTAAGATGCTTTCCTTTCCATTTTCTTTTACAGGTATAATACCCTGAAGATGGAGGGAGGCTTCTCCTGGGGTTCAAATGCTAACCTTGGACTCAGAAGAGAAGGGTTCCATATCCTGCTGTGTTACAGTTGTCTTGAGCAAGTAATCTGATATTTATTTTCCTCATCTCTGACAAACGTATCTGTTCACTATATTCTTGGTATTTGTTCAGATAAATGTACATAAATATTAACGTCCTTAAGAGGATTATATTTGAGATACACATATACAAGACTTTATCAAGATGCCTCTATATTTAATACTTTTAGCTGAAGACTGTAGCGTATATTCGAGACTGAGTTTACAGTGTTTACTATATTAGTAATTTTGCTTGACTATCTGTGAAAAAAAATGAGTTATTACTCTGGAACTTAACAAGATACATTTATTCTTATGTTATAATAAATTAGGAAGTTTAGTTCCAAGGCCAGTAGCAACCAAATGTATTATTTAAAAAGGAAAGAAAATACAGCCTGCTGGGCATTCGTTTGTTTAAAGGAGTTCTTTGTATTTATAGTTCTAGAAAAAATATTTCCTTGTAAAACATTCAGTAAATACTTTAAAGCATACAACAGTCATGCTTTCTGAAGGAAGGCAACAGAGTGATTACTCAAAGGAGAACTGAAGTAAGAACTATAACGATATGGGGAAAATTCCCACCATTGTACTTCAAGAGGAAAGAGTCACCTTTAAAGGATAATTAAGAACTTTGGTGCACTGTAATCACCTTTAAGGGACACTTTGGGACATTTGGTTTCTGAATTTGTGTATCTAAAGTTAGGTCATTATGACTTTACTCATTTCCCCCTGTCCCTGTTTTATTCTACTATTGCTTGAAAAATGCATCCAGCATGATATAACTCCATTAGCTGAGATTCTCTTTTATCTCCAAAATCCTCATGCTTTCCTCCTCCAAGTTTGTTGGTAACAACTCCACTAATGAGTCGCTGTGAAACCATTTCAAAGACTTGTATTCTGAAATGCTGAGAGTACTCAAGAACAGGAGAATTATATGCTGATTATGGTACTGTAGGAATTTTTTAAAGGATTTAAATTTCTTACTTCTGTCTTTTTATTATCCTAGTGAGAAAAACTAAGAAAACACCAAACAAACCTACCACACCCTTTTCCACATTCCCTCTTTCAATGTATCCTCAGTAAGATTACAACTCTCCAGAGCTGATTTTCCTAATAGAGTCCTCCCTGACTATGTTGGACAAATTTATGTCCCCTGGCTCTCTCCATCTTATAATGAAAATAGACCTATTGCCAGTTACACCTTTCTGATTGCTGCATACCTTCTGCTAAGGACAATTTGTGCAGTGTAAATGACGACTTCAGTAGTTGCTGCACAAAAAAAGCTACAGAAAGGGACTGCTATTCAGCACTCACATAAAACAGCCAATAAAGACACAGTTCTGATTAGCTGAAGACGTGTAAAGTGTATAAAAGATCTTTAAGTCTTCACAATCTTAATTATACCAGACATCATACTTAAGTGTTTCGACCTGAAAAATGAACCACATATGTTTGCAACTTTTCATTTGTCTAATCCCATATCAAGAAATTGTGTGTATTTGTTTTCTTTGTTTTTCTGTCAAATATTTATTACTGGATTGCTTTCTATTGTTTGAAAGTAAGCAATAAAGGAATTTGCCAATGTTACTCTGCAGAATATTGTGGCCATTAGGAATGCTGATGTTCATATTTGTTATTTGCCCCCAAACATACTTTTAGGTAACATCTTACCTCTGAAAAAATGAAAGAGACAGCAACATTACACGTGAGTAATGTGTGAGATGATGAGTTGGAGTAAGAGACTGAAACACTGGCAGTTCCAGAAAGCAAAGCTGTCTGCTACCTATCACCTCAGATCCATCGGGTTTGTCCCATCTCAGCCATGCAGCATGTCCTGCTGCCTTCTGTTTGTCCCATTCTACAAGAAAAATATGACACTCATGCAGGTAAAAGAGCATTTATTATATATTTTTCCCCATTCATTGTTTCCAGATAAAGGCAAGCACATTATTTCTACCTACTAAATGATTCCTGTTTTCTTTTAGCTCCATTATCTTGGTACAGCCTGGGATTTAATTGGAAGGTACAGGGAGTAGAGGGGGAAACAGTCACTAAGAAGCTAACTATCTGTAAAGAAATACATTGCCCTCCTACTGAAAATCAGGTGAAAAATCCTAGATTAGACATTCAGTGCATTTTCTAGACTAGTAATTCAGGTATGTTTGGATAATTACATAACCTTTTACCTGCAGATGACACATACAGCTTTCATTTCTGTCTTCTGCAAAGAGAGAAAAGAACTGCACCAATAGTCAATGTATTTTATATTCCTTATCACTCTATTCCTTTCTTAGTCTAATGAGTTGGGGTTCTCTTCACACACATTTTCCTTATGTCTGTTCAGAGTGATATTCGTGGCATCTGCTAATGCTGCCTGACAGCTAGTATTTCATCTTGATCCTCTGTAATTATCCTTCCAAATTTGTCTCTTTTCACATTTCTTACCAGCCTCTTCAACAAATTTTTTAGACATTGTAAAATTCTGGTCCTGCTTCCAAGTGATACTGCAGTTTAACATGCCGACTCTCTCTCCTTCAATTGCTTTATCTCTTTTCACCTTCAAAGACATAATAGTGTAATTCATAATGGTTTTTTGGAGGTGTAAAAAAAAAAAAAAAAAATCCCCCTTACATATACCACTGACCAAACTGTAAACCTTTTGCTCACAGCAGCAACTCACCAAAATGAAAACACCCACAAGAAGTCTGAAATTACCAAAGCCTTCAGATTGCAGTCTGCAGGAAGAGAAGTGAAGCAAATGTTCCAGGCTAAACTCCTGAAGGTTTTATCGAGATCCCAGAGGACCTGAAAGGTCCTGGAAGATGTGAAAAGCCCTAGTCTTCAGGAATTGATTGACTTCCTTGCTTTTCAGTCTACAGCCCACTCAGTGAACAATGCTGAAAGATTTGTGAGACAATAAGACCCTCAGCTCCATCCTTCATTCACACTGCAGTGGGCCAACCTGTGTTTGTGGATTTTTCCTGTTAACTCTTGACTTTTCAACACATCAGAATTCATCAAAAGTTACTGAAGGATTTTGTTTTATCAAAATAAGGGAACTTTTTACGTTTATTGTGCAGTGTTTGCTGAGTTCTGGAAAGGGAACAAAGAACAGTTTGATTTGTTTCGTGTCTCTTCCAGTGAGTAGTGCCCAGGAAGGACATCACTTCCAAAGCAGAACTGTCAGCAGCATCACAGTTGCATTGAATAATGGAGTGGTTTATGATTGTTTTTCAGGTTTTTCTGAAGTTTCTGTAGTCCAGAAGGCTTGAATGTCATTTCAGTGCACTGGATATAATTTCTGTTCAGCTATAATCACAGTTCTGGGAAGTTCTAGACCCCAGAGCAGGATTACTCTTCTATTTGCAGTTATGTCTGCTAATAAGAAGATTTTTGTTTTTCTGCTGGTAGTGAAAAGAAAGCAATCCCAAAGATTCAAAATAAAAGTTGTTTTCTTTTGGATTTACAACAGTTTTTTATATTTCTTGAAGATTAAGTTAGGGAGACATTTTTAAAATATATTAATAATAATAACAAAAATAAAAATAAACCAAAAATAATAATAAAACTAAGCCAGTGAGTTTTGCATGCATTGAGAGAAAAAGGACAGCAGCTGTCACTGCTGTTAAGAATAATTTATATATTGTCTGACTTATCCTTCTGGGGTTATAAGTGTTGACAAGTTAACATCAGGGCAAAGGTACACTGGGCTGTCAAGTTCCTATTTTCTGCTTCTTGCTCTTCCACAAAGATTGATTGATTTGATTTTAAAGAGTTCAGTTACATCACAGTGACAGAGTCTTCAGTGTGAATTAAAAGACTAAAATAGTTTAAATTGTTTTTATGTTGACAGGATCTTTGCACTCCAGGCAATCGCGTTGTTTTCCTTACAGCTTTGCTCCTTAGTCACCCAAATGTGGAATGTCACTCAAACTTGTCATATGTTTTTCTTGATGTTCCTTATTAGTCCCTACCACTCTTTTCAGGAATCTAACAAATGTGGATACCCTTTTGTCAGTCAGTTGCTCTGGTTGTTTGCCATTTTAAGCTTTCTCTCATGATGCTGTGTTAAAGCAGTTTCTCAGTGGACATCAACTTTACTTTGTAAGATACCAGTTAATCCTTTGAGTTATCACTAGTGTGATCATTTAATTAAATTACTGTAGGCATCCCAAATGAAAATTACATATTTGAACTGTCACCCACAGTTCAATTTCAACTCAGGTCTCAATTTTTTAAAGGGAATTAGGAAGCGATAATCCAATTAGGGGTCTTGCTGAGCTTGAGCTCTTTCTGCAAATGAGATTTAAATGTTTTCAGAATAAAATGAAGGTAATATCCAAAATTCTGGGCCTCTTTTACACACTGAGTTGTCCCACTGAACCTTTCCAATCTCATGTCTTGCACATGCTTTTTTAATCTCTTACTCCATCTTCTATACTAATTTTAGTATGGCATTCAAATTCATATGTGCATCAGCTGTTATTTTAATATATACAGAGAACTGAGGTGAAATGATCAAAAGGAATGCACAAATAAAAGGATATAATCCAGAACTGAAGACATCATAAAACAAAGGTTTTCGGGCAAATTATGTAGGATACAGGTAGACTCAGACATGATGTGATGACTTAGATTAGATTTCTGAATAAGGTCAGGACAAAGTTGTTAGCAAGCAAAAATTACAGAAGTTTTAAGTGACTAACACTGGTTTTGGTTTGTTCTGGTTTTCTTCTTGAACTTATGGCTCCTCATGGAAAAGTTTGAAAATGGATTGTGAAGTCATCACAGCGAAATCATAAAAAACTGTTGTATGCATATATAGGTCCTTACTAATGAAATTATTTAACTGTGCCCAACTCTCAATAACGTGAGTGAGTTTTAGCAAGTATTTAAGCATCAAAGTAGTATAGACTGGTTAGTAGCAGAAATGCAAAGTTTATTGTGTTTTCTCAAAAATTGGACCTTAAAAGGCTAGGCTCTTTCAAAACTACATAGCCGGAAAGACATTTTCATCCTAGCAAAGTTTTACTCTTTGCAGCTGCATTTTTGCTGATTCTCTGAAGTCAGAGTTAATTGATAGACAATTTGGCCTGTGGACTTTAAATAACATACTGAAAATCTCTGTTTTGGGGAGAGGCGGGTTTAGAGTTAATTATTCCCCAAAATGACTTTTTCAAACTGAGTACTAGAGCTGGCAAAAAAATATTGACATTGAATAAGAGTTTATTTCTGTGTTTTGTTTTGTGGGTTTTTTTTGTCTAGTGTCTAAGACTCTGAAAGTTAAAGTCCTTTTGCTGATATGGGATACCATTCTTGGCCATAATGAAATACAAGCCACTGATTAGTTCGTCCTTTTTATTTTGGCTACCTGAGCTTCTCCAGTTCACTTTTCAAAGGCAGATTAGAAATCTGGGTTAAGTAGGCACAATTCTTAAATAAGAATTGCTAATTATGAGATTTTGTTTTTGATCCCAGACTTTTTAGGCTTTTCAGCATTTCTGATCTGCAGTTTTATATTTGAGAGCAAACAGCTTTTTCATTCTTCATGTCTGTGACTTTTTTTCTACTTTAAACCAGACTCTCTCTGAGCTGGAAGGTAGTTTCAACACCTGAGACTGCATTCTGACCTTCTAGTTAACTAACTGATCTAATATTTTTTTCCCCATAGTGTCAGTATTTATCTCTGACAGCTTGCAATTTTACCCATTTCTTCTGTTTTTCTGACTTTTTAAATAATAATTTAAAATAATAATATTAGGAACCAGATTAGAATCTATTTTCTTCGTTCTTTTGCCTCTTATGGTAAATTATTCCCATATTTCTCCATAACAGCTGCTTCTTGCTTCAAGGCAAGATTTGATTTCTATGGCAAATACCACAGCTTCCTGGAATGTTTTTGCCTTTTTTTTTGTTTTCTTTCCACTAAGCTTAAACTGAAAATCCACATTAGTTGTTAGAAATGCCCTGAAAATAAATCTCTGTAGATTTTCTTCTAGTTCATCTCAGGTTCCCTCTTTTTCCCCTCAACTCTCAACTCTGATCAGAAGGATATAAATTCTGCAACATGCATAGATAGAGACTTTCTCTGGGTTGCTAAAACCCTAGATTCTTTTGATTTTTGCCATTTATTTGGCTGCTGAAGTTGTATTGGTGTTTCACTTGCTTTAAAATTAAGTGGAAATTTTACAAATAGATTTTCATGTGGTAGTCTTTAATGAAGGATGGTGGTTAAGACTATACATTTTAAGATGCTTTAATAGAAGTTAAATATTAATTATCTAGTCTCTAATTTAGGTTGGTGATGACATAGCCCTAAATTGAAAGGATGCACCTACTGAAATATGTATGGACCTACTTCAATATGGTTAGTGTTGTAGCATAAAATGGCAACAATTAATTAAATAATTCACATGTCAGGAGTTTAGAGTTATCTATCATTCTTATCTGTTGTAATTTTGTTCAAGTTATGAACAAGGCATAAATGTTAACTCTTGCTGGAATGATATACTGTTATTCTCTAAATTTTGTTGCTGTTGTTGTCTTTTGTCTTTATATATATATATAATAGATATAAATTTGTATCCATATTTTGTCTCTACTGTAAAATAGACGTATGTTTGACTGTTGACTGATTGCATTGAATTACAACCTTTAAAAGTGAGGATTTGTCATGAAATGACTGTCTGCTTGTCCTTGCAATTATTTACAGGGGGAAAAAGCAATAACATAATTGGTAGTTTCTAAAGAAGTCAATACTATTGTTTTCAGATTCATTAAGTTTTATTTTCCATTTCTGGAAATATAGAGAAAGTCTGGTATTTGTCTGCAGCACTTTTGGTTTTAGTATATATTAAAAAGTAGCAATTCTAAATTGAGAAAATGTTCTGAGTTTTATGTTTCGTATTTGGACATCCTCAAATTTGTATCACTTTGAGCCAATACAGATAAAATAAGGCCTGAACTGTGAACTTTAATTTACCCATGAGCCTGAGTTTTTCAAATTGGGTCAGTGTTTGATAGAAAAATAAATATTTTGTTTCTCTTGTTTACATTTATTTGCATTGCATCATATTTGTAATTTAGAATTAATTTGTAGTCTATTTTTTCCTGAAGTACTTCTATTATTATTATTATTATTATTATTACCATTTAATATAGCCTGTGGAACACTGAACACTGATTAAGTGTTGTATGCTTTCTGTTATCTCTGAAGCATAACCGATGAAGTATTGTGAATTTGGCACTGTTTAATGTAGCATTTTGCTTGCTGTGCAGCACTAACAAACAACACATCAGTAGTCATGCCTGTCTCTCATTTAAATGCAACCTCAGAGTCACACTCCATGTTACAAATATCTGGGAGCTGTGTGATTAGTTAACATCTTTTGCATAACCCTTAAAATTATAGCAAGTTCTCAGGAGATAATTAGCTTTCTGGATACCTCTAGTGAAATGAACTATGTCTAAGAAATGGTAGGTACCGTGTGTTCTACAACTCCAAGGAATGGTGGT